TAGACATTTTTTTTTGTGTGTAGCATGAAAGCTGAACAGAAAGTTTCAGATTGAGCTTAAAAGAAATGGCCGATCAAATTATTATTTTTTATGAGAGCAAGTGAAAAATCTTTTCTTAAAGTCGACGGGACCAGTCAAGGGAGCAGCAGTTGTAACACTTTTACAGGCATCATGATTTTCATAAATTATCCATTTATTTGACCCATCTTTTTTCTCTTTTTTTAACAAAAGGTGATGCTGAATTAGATGAATGAAAATTTTTCTACGACTAGATAATACATTGAACAGTAATTGGAAAAAGACTATTCAAATAAGGATATTTGATTTATTCATTTAGTAAAAAACAGTTGAAAACTAAATTTAAACCTGTGAAAAGGAGCTGGTTTGCAAGGAATTTCATCAATCTGCCTGAATCATACTGTTTTCTCGTCCAAATTTTTATGAAATAGGTAGGTATGTAAGAAAAAAAAGAATGAATGAAGAGGGGCATATAGACAGCCAAAGGCATACAGATAGATAACTAGATACTTCTATCAATATTCTATTGCAATGAATACTTTCAAAAATATAAAATTATAAATTTACTTTTGGCGAAATTAAATGCAGTAACTGGAAATGTAGGCGACACAATAAATTACCTTGACCCAACTCCCGTTATTTAACCGTGCAAAAATGTGCTGTAATCACAAGGCTCAGAAAATCAAAGAACTTTTAAGTAAAAAAAAAATGAACGTAAATGTTGGGTTAATAAACAAAATAGTATAAAAGTTTCATATCTGAAGTATATATAATATTAAGATTATTTACAAAAATTAATTTGGATATCCTAATACGCGTAATACGATACATGTCTATTTTATAAGTGTAGCAAACTACATAGTTCATCGACAATTTTTACAGTTTCTCCAGCCAAGTTATGATGCTTTATGATTTAACGATAACTAACTCTCTCTCTTTTCTTTTTCCTATTGCTATACCTGTATCTCAGGGCCTCGTCAATTGTGCATAAAAAAACAGCAGAAACAAATAAACAGAAACAAGATAAGTCTGGTTAGCATTCACACTACCTTAGAATACTCTATATTCATATATACTCTATATTCATCGGAGTAATAGGGGATATGCTCCCCATTCGCGCTAATAAATTACATTTACGCACTGGATTTTATTCATACTACCCAAGGGTTCTCGATATTCGGGTCAATTGGGTATATTCATGCATACTAATAAATTACCTTCATTCCAATAAATCAACATAAACAAATATCTTATGAAAGGTATTGGTTGAGATAAAAAAGTAAGTGTCACGAGCGGGATTCGAACCCACGAACTTCGGCTAAATAAGCCTCTACTCTGACACTCGAGCTGTCGTGACTTCGATCGGATACCAGGCTCCCACCTCAACCTCACCTCCCGAATTTTCCCTCCTTTTTGCCATTTTTCAAATGTCGTGTAATCTATTTGATTCTCGGCGACAAATGTGCTTTCGTGAAGATATACTTCAGTTTAATTATTAAATCCATTACAGTTCGTGGTCCGATTCGCCATTAACATTTTTCAATTAATTAATATTTTATGAAAGGTATTGGTTGAGATAAAAAAGTCGAAGTCACGATAGCTCAAGTGGTAGAGTAGCGGCGTATTTAGCCGAAGGTCGTGGGTTCGAATCCCGCTGGTGACACTGACTTTTTTTAATCTCAACCAATACCTTTCATAAAATATTGGTCAATCGGACCACGAACTGTAATGGATATAATAAACAAATAAATTCATTCGTTCTAATAATTACATATATATACTCGAAGGTGCGAAGGTACAAATCTGTATAATTAAAAATATTCATGGACCTGATATATTTGATCAGCGGTTTATGCCTGCTGCCTAGGCATCGCGTGGGTCATTCGGGATATTTCCTTCTTTGCTGACTTAGTTCTTTGCAGTTTATTATTATGTGGTGTACCAAGGTAAGCTATCCACACAACAGGCACAGATATGCCTTAGATTCTGTTACTAGATCTGAAATTGACGACTTGTTAGTCGTGTTAGGTGTATGATGAAGAACTCGTCTGAGAATTTAAACAATTAATACCCACTTGCAGTAATTTCCTAGTATTCAATTATTTAGAGTTTAATTAATATGATTTAAATTATGACATTTCTTCTTGAGATATGCCGACCGATGATCCTAGACTTTATTCTTTTTTATTATTTGTATAGTCTTTAGTCTTTTTTGTGTAGAATTTCGTCTTTTTTGTATAGTATTTCCGTTTTAATCTGACAGACGAGTTAAGAATTCTCACAATTTTCAGTGGTTGCGTTGTGTCATTTTGTCAGTCGTATCTTTCAAAATGGCACGTAAAGCCTCAGTGAGGATGGGCAGGCAAAATAATAAGATTTATTTTCAAATCTATTCCTAATATTTTAAATTGACGGATAATGTTTTGTAACCTCTGCACAATTTCCATGATTGCGGCAATAGAATTTCGTTGAATGGAAGAAGATGCTGCCGCTGGAACGGGAGGGCTTGATGAAATTATGCCAAGAGCCCTTACCTTGACCCAGGTCCCGTTCTTTAGTTGTGAAAAGAGGTTGAGTAATACAAGGCTCAAGGAAATAAAAAGGCATTTCAGTAATATACGCAAGCGTGTATAAAGATACGAAATGCCGCTTATGTCGCAAAGTTCAAAAACATGTTTGGCGTTTTATTTGCCCAGTTCTCATTTGATGCTTACCGGATTTCTGGGTCAATTTTTTTTTTTAATTCCTTCAATACATTTATCTTATTAAATTTGATTTATGTTATTATTCTTTAAATGTTAAAATTCTCATAACTATCAGTTGCCTCCATTGTGCAACAACCGTACCAAAGCAATATATGATACAGAAAATTAGTTAATAAGCCGCCAGCTATTCACTTACAAAAAAAAAATTAAAATAAAATAAATTCTTTTTACAATAATTAATTGCGAACAAACGATAAAGCGGGTAAGGTTCATGAAAATATTTGGAACATAACTAATTAAAAACTTTTCAATTATGAGATAAAAAAATCAGTGTCACAAGCGGGATTCGAACTCACGACCTTCGGCTAGATACGCCGCTACTCGACTACTTGAGCTATCGTGACTTCGATCCACTTGTACACTAACTTCCCATCTCAACCCCACCTTTTGAATTTTCCCTCCTTTTGGCCATTTTTCAAATGTCGTGTAATCTATTTGGCGACAAATGAAATGGTCACGGAGAGCTTTAGTGACGATATACTTCATTTAACTTATTAAATTCACCAGTTTTCGTAGTCCGCTTGACCAATTAATATTTTTCAATTAATTAAGGTTTTTAGTTGAGATAAATTACAAATAGCTCAAGTGGTAGAGTAGCGGCGTATCTAGCCGAAGGTCGTGGGTTCAAATCCCGCTCGTGACACTGACTTTTTATCTCAACTAAAAACCTTAATCAATTGAAAAATGTTAATTGGTCAAGCGGACCACGAAAACTAGTCGAATTAAGGATAACATCAAAGAAATGAATGCTAAATTTTTTATTAAAAATGTAATGAGTGAAAATTTAGTAATATTTTAATAATTGTAAAGAAAAAATAATTCAGACCATATTAAGAACTTAAAACTAAGTGTGTGTTTGGTTTTTGTAGTCCAGTTTTCCCAACATTTAAATCAGCATTTGAATTTTCCCTCCTTTTTGACATTTTTCTTTCAAAAGGTGGGTTTGAGATGGGAAGTTAGTGTCCGAGTGGGTCGAAGTCACGATAGCTCAAGTGGTAGAGCAGCGGCGTATTTAGCCGAAGGTCGTGGGTTCGAATCCCGCTTGTGACACTGACTTTTTATCCCAACCAAAACCTTAATTAACTGAAAAGAATTTATTTAGTCAAGCGGACCACGAAACCTAATAAAAAACCTTTCAAAAGAATCGTTTCATTGAAGAATGATTATAGCTGACAGATTGTATGTTCAGCAATAATTAAAACTCAAACGTGTTTCGAACAAAATTAAACAGTTATTTAAATTTTAGAAAGTCAACTCAACAGCGCCAAAAATCTATTGCTATACCGTTACAAAAACCTTAAAAAATTAAAATTTATATCATGCACAAAAGAAAACCTCGTAACAGGTAATACGAGTAGAATTAAACCTGGTATCACAAGCATTAATTGCAGACAACAGAAATAAAACAATAGTATAAAAAACCTCTACAACATTAACATATATGGTGAAAACGACAGCTCGAAAGAGGATATTTAATAGACCAAATTCAGGCAGATAGGAAAAGAATAGAGAATCTTGAAAAAACGAATACACATACTGACAGAGAAATAAAGATCAAATACAGGTAGAATATGGAGAAATATAGTATATTATATGAGATTAATTTGGAAAAAGTTTTGTAAAATGGTTTTAACCTTCCAAAGGTGTAGTTAGATGTTACGACCTATCTATGACCTAAATTACTTTACTTTTATATAGAGAAAACAACGATAATTTAGAGAAATCAACGAAAAATTGGGCCGGGTCGGCAGAGAAGTTCTCAGGGATCAAGCACTGTCGATAGATGGCCCTCGGAGGTCCTCACCCGATTATGGTCATGCGAGTTTGACGCTTACTTTTGGACCAAAGCCCGCCTGCTTGCCTGGTGTGTAGAGAAAGTTTGCTCGATGTGCCCACCTAAATGAAGGGTGCGATTCCTTGACTCTGTATAGAGAGCGTGTAGGATTGCTACCCATATGAGAATCATGCTTGAGGCCGGAGCGAGTATTTGGGTCCCCTGTTCTGATTTTTGGAAGAAACAGGGTTGTTTTAATGTATGCATGATAGTTTTGTGTCCCTGCTGAAAAAAAACTCAAATCAAATGCAATTGATACGCATCGTTTAGTTCATAAACGGTACATTCGATGATTTGGAAAATCTATAAAGTAAACTTGCCTTTACAGTATAAATATTAATGTTAGCTTTATTTGTTATTCTCTTATGAAAAATAAGACTTACCCTATTAAATGTTCGAAATCTCACAGTTTCAGAAAAATTGCTTTTCTGCGTTGGTTAAGCTGTAACCGTCGCCGATAATCGGGCCCTCCAGACACAACATCAAGGCGGTTCTTCATCAAAAATCGACCTGATGTTGCGTCGGACGCCTCGATTCAGTCCTAGAAACGTACCAAATGATTTTTGAAAAATGGCCGTTTATGGCAGAGATCTCGGCGTCTACTCCCTTCTTTATCTCTGCCGATTAAGATAAAAGATTCCGTGGGCTCGCGACACTTCTTTTACGACGCAATAAAGCTAGTGCTATGAATATTTTTTCTTTATATCACTGTCCGGAAAGAAACTGTGCGGTACAATAGTGAAGTCAAGCTTACGAAATTTTATGACGGTTCTGTTTGTAAAATATATTTCGTTCATCATCGTTTCGTCCGGTGGTTTGCCTTGAATTACGGAATCAGTCGTTTGTCCAAAATAGATGTCCACAATTTTAGAAACTTAATAAAATTGCTAGTAGCGGCATGTCGCTGTACAGAAAATAATCGAGTTTTGAAGTATATATCTATTGAAAACAAAAACCATACGATAACATGTTTTATATAATTATTTTTTCTTAAAATACATATAATTAACCTATAATATTAGTAATAATCTTTATGTAAGGTATTGGTTGAAATGAAAAAGTTAGTGTCACGAGTGGGATTCGAACCCACGACATTCGGCTCAATACGCCGCTGCTCTAACCACTTGACTTCGATCCACTCGGACATTGAAAAATGGCAAAAAGGAGGGAAAATTCGAGAAGGTTGTAGGTTGAGATGGGGAATTGGTGTCCGAGTGGATCGAAGTCACGATAGCTCAAGTGGTTAGAGCAGCGGAGTATTGAGCCGAAGGTCGTGGGTTCGAATCCCGCTTATGACACTAACATTTCTTTTCAACCAATACCTTACATAAAGATTAATTAATTGAAAGAATTTATTTGATCAATCAGATCACGAAATATAATGGATTTAATAAGTAAAACGAACTATATCTTCACTAAAAGCTCTAAGTAGCCATTTCAATTCTCGCTAAGAATCGAATCCTGATTACATGACATTTGAAAAATGGCAAAAAGGAGGGAAAATTCGTAAGGTTTTTGGTTTAGGGGGGGAATTGGGGATCAATCGGACCACGAAATATAATGGATTTAATAAGTAAAACGAACTATATCTTCACTAAAAGCTCTAAGTAGCCATTTCAATTCTCGCTAAGAATCGAATCCTGATTACATGACATTTGAAAAATGGCAAAAAGGAGGGAAAATTCGTAAGGTTTTTGGTTTAGGTGGGGAATTGGGGATCAATCGGACCACGAAATGTAATGGATTAGTGATAATAAATATTAAATAATAGTTACAAAAAAGAAATAATTTCACTATTGCATTATCAATAATAGTACTAGAGGGGCCTCGGTGGCCGCAACAGTTCAGGCGTTGATACGGCGCTCATCATTGTAAGGTAAAGGTCCCGTGTTCGAATCCAGCGGCCCTGCATTCGAACCCGACATACTTACGCATGGGCTTTTTTTGCAAAAACACAGGCACCCCGAGGGTTGATATGATCTCTGCTGTTGCGAACCCTCGTTAAAAAAGTAATAGAGTAAGGTTTTAAACTCATTCTACTTAAAAAAGTAGGCTTGCGAATTCGTGAAATTGTTTGTTATAAGTTTGAATCGAGTAATTAACTTACTTAATTGTAAGTTTTATGAGGTTCAGTCAGTTTAATTGAAACAAATGTATTAACGTGGTCGAAGAGTTATTGAATAAACTTTCTAGAAATGTGTATTTATAGTTTACAACCTTCTACAACATTAGTTCCCGTCCAGTAATATTCTTGACGTTTGTCAAACGATTTAACTTTTAAAATTAACACCAGGATAAATTCAACTGATTAATACCTTTTTACTAATAACTGATTAATACCTTTTACCTGAAAATACCTTTTTCCCATAGTTTGTACTTCACTAATACAACTAAAACACAAGAGTTTGACACTAGGAATTTCTTGATATTTTAGGTAACATGATGAATGCCAATTTAGTTAAATAAACCTTAAACTGACTTGTATCACCTTAAAAACGTTTAGGATATATCAAACCACGAGACAGATCTTACATATGATTGTGAAAGGTCGAAATGTCGTTGACCTTTCTCCATTTGTGATTTGGTAAAAATAATGATAAAATAATGTGGGCCCCAGCGGCCACTTTTTTTACTGTATATTTTTCAGGCTGCAGCCATTTGATAGTCTCGATCTTTTAATGAATAAATTAACAAAAACACAACACACGATACAACATAGAAGCCTGGTCACATTCACTCCCCCAGAGTACTCGATATTCCTCGGGGCGGGTTAAACACCCTTTCCATTCGCGCTAATAAATTACATTCATTCCGTTAAATTAACGTAAACACAATGTATTTTAAATAATAGTAATATTTTACTAATTTTGCTTTACTTTAATATTTTTAATTAATTTAAAAATCCCTATAGCCTTGAGGTACGCCTGGCGTCGTGCCCCAAGAGTACGCAAGGTTTAACAATATTTCAATGTATTATCATTTTTATGTAAGGTCTTGGATGATATGAAAAAGTTAGCGTCACGAGCGGGATTCGAACCCACGACCGTCGGCTCAATACGCCGTTCTTCTAACCGTTTGAGCTATTCTTTTTTATTAATATTTTTATTTATTTTTAATTAATATGATCAATCATGACCACTAAAGCATATATGGATTAACTTATAAAAACCAGGTTGCACTTTCGTAAAGAGGAACCTCCCTACGTATATTTTTTTACCATTAACTCTTGCCATTGCAGTAAATATTTATTTACAGGACGCTTGAATTTTTCGATAAAGGTTGCAATTACATTGATAAATTCAAGAATATAAATTACAAATTAAAGAATCCTGCCAACATTAAATAAAAAATAATTTGCAATATAATCAAATCCATTTTCGTTTTCGTAGTCAATTGACTAAGTTACTTCTTTCAATCAAGTTATTATTCTTTCTAAAGTCTTGGTTGAGATTAAAAAATCAGTGCCAGGAGCGGGATTCGAACTCACGACCTTCGGCTAAATGCGCCGCTGCACTACCACTTGAGCTATCGTGATTTCGATCCTCTTGGACACCAACTTGCTATCTCAACCTACAACCTTTCGAATTTTCCCTCTTTTTACCATTTTTCAAATTATAAAATACCTAAGGATAAAAACCTTTCGTTAAATGAATAATTAATTGAAATATGTAATTTGGTCAGTTAGAGCACTAAACATAAATGGTTCAATAATATATTCAAAAACCATCCTTAAAAAATTATCCACAATTATTTTATTCTGGCATAACGGGCATCTTGTCCGTCGCGTTCCGGCCAGGTGTCCGTGAGTTATTCACGAATGACCTATCCGCAGTCTTGTCAGTATGGCCTTATTTGAAATGAGTACTTTTAAATCGAAAGGTTTAGTAAAATTAAAACAATCTTGAAATATTAATTTTATCTTATTACGGTTACATAATAGTAATGATATTTAAAAACCTGATCAAACATAGATGGGCTTTTCAATAAAAATTTTAATTTTGAGCAATTAGTTTTTTCTTATAAAGTTGTTTTTTAGAACATGAAATTTTTAAAACTAATTTCGTTTTTAATTTTTTTTTTAATTCCACGTGTTTCTTTTAACGTAAATTGAACACAGTTGATGAACACTCATCATCATAAACCATAAAACAACCCAAACCAATTTTTTTCTAGTCGAGCATCAATAAAAATGACTAAAATAAAACGCACTCGATTTTTAGAACATCACTGCTCGAAACAAATTACTTCCTTTCCATACGTAACTTCAGGTCACGTGCCAAGCTTACGTCCATCACTAAAAACGTTATAAATTGGGCTTCGTTTTCTAATAATATGAAAATGTTTTTGAGTCACTCTGACCTCAGCACGATTTTAAGCTTATTGAAGAAAGCATAAGAGACGCGAACTTTTATCATCGGAAGAACTTTTGATGAAAATTTTTCTATTGGTATCTTTTACACTATGTTCGAGAAACAGAGGAAATGAGATATCGCACAAACTGTTAATTACATTTGTACGTCTTTTTCAAACTTTCGACTTTAACGCACACGCGGTTTTTCTTTGCTATTATAAACTTTGTCATTTTAGACGAAACCCGCCTACTTTTGAAACAACCTGGCCGGGCCCGAGAGTAAGAATGTTCTTTAATTAAACGGAACTGCCTCGGCCGGAGTATTTTAAGGGCTGTGAATTCGGGATATTGCGCTTCCCTTAATACAAGAAGGGGGATGAATATTTGTAACACCACTACCTCTGCGGTGGTGATTCAACCCTTGCCGCCGGTTCCGGCAACACCTATACAATTAAACTCTTGACAGTATGATACAATAAAATATATTTACTTAAAGAAAATGAAAAACATGCCTCAATACAGAGTAAATATGAGAGAATAGATACCCAGAGCTTTATCAGTTTAAGGGCTACCATCAAAATCTTATAAAACATATTATTGGATGGTTTGTTTTGGGGGGGGGCACACTGTAAATTAATCTTTAAATATCTAAAAAATTGTTATATAAAATGAAAAATTACAAAAAATGCGTTAGTACGCAATAGGAGACATACCAATTGAATAATTAAACGATTTAATGAATTTTGGTTAAAACAAACTCACCGATGACGCTAAAGAGTCAAGATTTGATTATATCTTTCAATCAAGTAATTGTTCTTTCTAAGGTCTTGGTTGAGATTAAAAAGTCAGTGTCACGAGCGGGATTCGAACCCACGACCTTCGGCTAAATACGCCGCTATTCTTGAGCTATCGTGACTTAGATTCCTCTCGGACACCAACTCTCCATCTCAACCTACAATCGTTCGAATTTGATAATGGCAAAAAGAGGGAAAATTCGAAAGGTTGTAGGTTGAGATNCTAAATGCGCCGCTGCACTACCACTTGAGCTATCGTGATTTCGATCCACTTGGACACCAACGTCCTATCTCAACCTACAACCTTTCGAATTTTCCCTCTTTTTACCATTTTTCAAATTATAAAATACCTAAGGATAAAAACCTTTCGTTAAATGAATAATTAATTGAAATATGTAATTTGGTCAGTTAGAGCACTAAACATAAATGGTTCAATAATATATTCAAAAACCATCCTTAAAAAATTATCCACAATTATTTTATTCTGGCATAACGGGCATCTTGTCCGTCGCGTTCCGGCCAGGTGTCCGTGAGTTATTCACGAATGACCTATCCGCAGTCTTGTCAGTATGGCCTTATTTGAAATGAGTACTTTTAAATCGAAAGGTTTA